AAACCTTGTCTCAAAAAAAAAAAAATCCAAAATTCAATCAACAACAAGAAAAAAATATTATTTTAAAACAAAAACTCAAATCTTCAAAGAATTTGCATCCTTTCTGGGTGTTCTATTCAAAAGTGACCTACAATATTCCCACTTGGCTTCCCTAAGTCCTGGCTGGGTCGCACCACTGTTCTTCACCTTTTGGCTCTTCTTTCACAGAACTATTGGATTCATTCCTACAACTTCATGGAATAAAACCAGAAACAGCATTTTCTCTCTTCATTGGGTTTCTTGAGTCCTGACTTAATATGAAATTTACCCTGGCTTTTAACTCAGTGATCCTCCTGCCTCTGCTCACTCTGATATGTTGATGTTACAGACGTGTGCCATCATGCTCAGTTTCCTTATTTGTAACACTTCTAATTCCTTTAAATTCCAACAGAGTCAATGTGTATAAAACAGAACTCATGGGGTAGGGAATTTAGCTCAGTGGTAGAGCGCTTGCCTAGCAAGCACAATTTCAGATATTTAATGTTGTATGTAACGATATGAACATGCCATGAAAAATCTACCTTAATCAAACTACTACAGAATTTTAACACTTCCCAACCAGTTGCCGTTCAAAACATGCCAACTTTCTCTATACTAGTGTGTGTAATTTACCTGCAAATCCAGTCAATTTTAAAGACGCCTCCAAGCATTTTAGCACTCATTCCTGCAGGAAGCACCCAGTGTATAGGAGATCCACCATGATGTGATTCTGAAGACAGTCTGGCAAAACCTAAGGAAACCATAGTATCACAAAATAATTTAATCATTGCTGTAATATTATTGTTATATGTCCAAAATAACAAAAATTTATGCTTACCTTGAAATTTTCCACTTTCTCTGACAGAAAATATTAAGATAACACTCCTTGCAGATCTGAATGCAAGATTTAATTTCTTCTCATTTACAGGTAATGTGGACCATACACCCTATAGAAATAATGCAAAGATTACTATTAATAATTACTATTTAATAAGATAATTATTAAAACTTGTATGAAATTAAATACAAGTTTTATGTGCAATCATTAACCCAAGTTAGAAACACTATTAATATTGACTGAAATATGGTTAGAAATGTGAACATTCTGATAATCGGTTGAAAATGTTATGCAATTTAAGAATTTGAAAATACAGTAACTGGTGTAAAACATAAATGTACTGTACTTCTTCAGTATCCTCCAGCAACTGATAATCCTTTTGGTAAAGTCTCGGGTGGACCTTTAGAGCTATGGTTCCCCCTTCTTTCTAAATCCAAGTGACATTAAATATATTAATGGCTGGATTTAGAAAGAAATATTAACAGAAACACATCTATTACAATATAAATAATACAATCCTCAACACTGTACTATGGTTTCTAGAATAAGAGAAAAGGCCAGGCGGTGGTGGCACACGCCTTTAATCCTGGCACTCGGGAGGCAGAGGCAGGGATCTCTGTGAGTTCGAGGCCAGCCTGGGCTACCAAGTGAATTCCAGGAAAGGCGCAAAGCTACACAGAGAAACCCTGTCTCGAAAAACCAAAAAAAGAAAAGGGTAAATTCACATCTCTACCAGGTGCCCTTTCTCATCACAAACCAGATCTAGAGTAGCAACTGTGAAATTCAAAGCATCTTATGCTACTACTGGAGGTAGTTTTCATTGATCATCACACTTTAACATTTCAGGATTGGTACTATTTCAA